CTGTGAGTTTGACTTTTTTTCTTCTTGATCCCACATGTAAGTGATACCATGCAATATTTGTCTTTCCCTGTCTGGTATATTTCACTTAGCACAATGCTTTCCAGGCTCATCCATTTTGCTGCAAATGACAGGATTTCCTTCTTTCTTTAAGGCTGAGTTATATGTATGTATAACACATATGTCACATTTTCTTTATCCATTCATTCATCAGACATGTTGTTTCCATATCTTGGCCATTGTCAACAATGCTGTACTGAATATGGGAGTACAGATACATTTTTGAGATAGTGATTTTGTTTTCTTTGGACCTATACACAGTCAAAACTGAGATTGCTGGATCATAAGATATTTTACTTTTTGTGGACCATCCATACTGTTTCCCACAGTGGCCACACCAATTACATTCTCACCAACAGTGCACTGAGTTCCCTTTTCTCCACATTTTCACCGACCCTTGTTATCTCTTGTCTTTTGGATGGTATCTGATATCCATTATAATACCCACTATTGTTTATTTTTGTATTCTCTTCACCTTTTATAGGGTCTGGGACATTAACGTGATTTTGAATGTTCAACAGGGAATGACATCAGAAAAATGACCATTGGGCATGACTTCACACCAGCTGGAGAATTGGTGGTGATTACTGTCAGGAAGAATCTCAAATATGTGATGCTGGTAATCTCTGGTCATAAATATGTATAGAGAATAAATCTTGTCTTCTGATTAAAAAATAGGCTTGGGAAACCTCTCTTACCAGAAACAAAGAAATCTGTGTTCTGTTCTTATTTTTTTTACCAATCCAGTTTGGTATAAATAACGTGCTGCTCAGAGAAGAGGACTAAATGAAATTACTGGTGGATCGACTATTCTACTTATGATGAAACCTCAGACTCTGGCTCTCAAGGGGAATTGGCTACCTAAACTGGTGCCTTACATTGTCCAGGCCAACACAAACACGGCTGGGAACGGAGCAGTGTTTTTACGGTCTTCAGTCCCTGGAGACACTCTTGCACTGGGAAAGATACACTTACTGCACTGAACAATTGCCTGAGACTCAGAGGTCCCTCATAGCAGCGGCTGCCTGGGACCACCTCTGTGAACTAACTCAGCTCCCCAAGTACCCAGAGGGCATCCTCCTGGAAGCTCTTCCTCTCCAATGGGAACCAGAGGGCAAACACTCTCCCAGGACCCTGGTTCGTGTGAATAAGGAATAAGCAGTGGCCATAACTCCCTTTAGTTTTTCACCTTCTAGAATGCAATCACATTTTCCTGGAAAAGCTTTGAAAACGATGACCTTTTGGTTGGTCTTCCTCCTTTAGTGCATAAGATCAGTCATTTAAGTCCCATCTGAATCCTATTTAAACCCCACCTACCCCATCTCTTTTTTCCCAGCTCCCAACCTTAGTCCTGGTACTGGAGTGGCGGGGTGGGGGTGGGGTGGGGGGTGGGCGGGGATGGAGAAATCCAGTTCTTAAGCTCCAAGTTCTCAGGCTAATGTGGCTCAATGAGTACTTAAGAAAAACCTGCATGGCTTGCTTGTCACAGGTGGAAACATGCATTTCTATCCCTTCAATATCCCTGTCAGGCAGAGGTTATTATATACCTCCTCCATAGAAGTGATAATGAGTACTTAGTGACTTCATGCCATGTACTAAATAATGTCCTAAGTATCATACATTAATGATTGCATATGATTCTCACAAAAACACTGCAGGGAAACAGATGAGGATTCCAAGCCTCACACAGGGTATAATGGCTTCACAAGTTACTCAACTGTTTGACCTTTCTGTTGGACTGAGCTTCCTTTCAGAGAGCCATGAGTCTCTCCTGGGGTGGAAAATCCCCAGTCTTCAAGAACAGGTTTGGTTTTTGGACAGAGCCCTAAATGGAAGATTCAGATGGTAGAAAATCAAGTTGATTTTACGTTTGGGCCAACAGCAGGTGTGGCCTCAGGAAAGGGGTCCCTGGAGGGTTTCACTGTTGCAGGCCCTTTGAAATTGTTCATGGCTTCTTAATGCTCAGAGCACAGAATGTTTAGAACGGGGGTGGGATTTAGAGGCTGTCTTAGTTAATCACCATTTTTTAGTACAGTTAGTTCAAAAAGATTAAATGAAGTAGAGAATGTTACTCACCTAGTGGCAGAACAGAAACAATAGCTCAGAGCTCCCAAATCCCATCCCAGGGTTCTGTCCCCTCCTAATGCAGGGGATTAAACATCATCTTCTTTAGTTTACTTTTTAAAAAACCTTAGGAATATATTTTCTTTAACCCAATATATCTAAGACACAATCATTTCAACATATTCTTGATGTAAAATTGACAAAGAAATAGTTTACATTCATTCTTTGGTAATTATTGTGGTAAAACATATAACATAAAATTTATCATTTAAAATTTCTTTAGGTTTATAATTCAGTGAGATTAAGTATATTCACATTGCTGTGAACCATCATCATTGTCTATTTCTAGAAACTTTTGTCATTTAAAACTGAAATTCTGTGCCCATTAAACAATAACCCCTCATCCTTCCCTTCCCACAGCCCTGGGTAACTTCTATCCTACTTTCTGTCTCTATGAATTTGCCAATTTTAGGTACTTTGCATATGTGGAGTCATGCAATACTTGGTCTTTTGTGTCTAGCTTGTGTCATTTATCATAATATTCTTGGTGTGCATCTATGTTGTAGAATGTATCAGAATCGTGTTCCTTATTATGCGTGAACAATATACCATTGTATGTCTACCTCACATTCTGTTTATTCATTCATCTGTTGATGAACACATGGTATTTCCACCATTTTGACTATTGTGAATAGAGCTTCTATGAATATTGGCATAGAAGTCTTTAGAGGAGTTTTTAAAATAAAAATCTTACGGCAAAGGGAAAGGTAGGGAAGTCACACAGAATATGAGTAAGTTGAACTGTGGTGGAATACTGTAAGGAATTTGGGAGCAAGAGATACACACTTTATTACGTTGTCAATCTGGCCATGCTCTTAGGTACCTGGAAGTAGGCAGGAGTCGTGGAGAGGCAGTAATGCACAGGAAGAGAGAAGCAGATGTAGGTTGTGGGGAGAGACAGGAGGTTCAACCTCATGAAATGAGGCCCCTGACTTCATTATCTGGAGTGAGTCCCAATACCTGAACCTCTACTTTTACAAAGCACGGGCCCCGCTTTGTTTCCATAGGGAAGCCTCCTCTCTTTTCCATTCTCTCCCTTTCTCTCAGCCTTGTTATATCTGTATTGATTAGCTGCTCTGAGCAGGTAATAATGATTGGATGCTCTAAGGTTTCCTCCTTTTAAGTGAGACCCCGTAGGTTGGAGTCTCCCCCATGGTTTATCAACCCAAGTCCCCCACCCAAGATTTTCTCAGTGAAGCTACTGAGGGGAAACATAAGTCCAATGATTATAGTTAGACTTCAGCTTTTCATCATATCTTGAGAAAAGATGCATTAACATCTTTATAGTTGTACAAATGATACCTGTCCAGATTCATGCACTGGCGGCAAAAAAGACTAGGGATCCTCTCATATCTTCAAATCTGAGTTTACAGAATTCTATAAGTATAAAAGCAATAGGCATAACACAGACAAATTTAGAATATAATTTTATTGTATCTCATAATTAAGTTAAAACCCAGACATTTGAAATGTTTGATAGATACGGAATATACTAAAAAAGGGAGACACAATTGAGAAGGTATAAGAGATAAATAGACAACAATATTATTCTCCCTTAATCTGGAAAGAAGCCAAATATAGAATATGAAAGATAGTTGTAAAACATGAAGAGTAATCTGGATATGTAACCCACAACAAGGGCAGGGTAACCTCTCAAAACACATAGTCATTAATCTCATAAAACACACAGCAGAGAGAAAACAGAGATTGTACAGGTGGAGGAAATAAATGGCAGATGTTAAACAGGAAGTAATATAACATGAAAATTAAGTAACTGTATTTGATCAGAAAATGCAATTTCAAATCTCGGCACATAACTAATATATTTTTTTGAAAAACTTGTTTCTTGCACTTAGAAACATTTTGTTAGGACACATTTTCAAAAGTGAGATTTTAGCATTTAAGCCTATAACTTTCAAAAAATTCCTGCTGCTTCCTGCCAATTATACCATCAGCTATGGTGTTCAAGGATATACACTTTAATATAATCTCCTTTCTCACTGTGAATTTTCATTAATAAAAACTCCTAATTTGATAGGCAAAAATGCTGCCTTGGATTACCAGTCATATAGAGTATTTTTTCCCTTTTTTAAAAAGATTTTATTTGTTTATTTTTAGAGAGAGGGGAAGGGAGGAAGAAAGACAGGGAGAGAAACATCAATGAGGTTGCATCTCATGTGCCCTCTAATGGGGATTTTCCCCGCAACCCAGGCATGTGCCCTGACTGGGAATTGGACTGATGACCCCTTCATTTGTAGGCCAGCACTCAATCCACTGAACCACACCAGACAGGGCTAATTTTTCCCTTGTTTTAAAAACAGGGTATCCAAACTTCTGGCATCTCTGTACCACCTTGGAAGAAGTGTTATATTGGGCCACACATTAAATACATTGTGACATGTAATCACACAAAAATCTCATAATGTTTTAAGTAAATTTACAATCTTGTGTTGAGCCACCTTCACAGACATCCTGGGCTGCATGTGGCCCGTGGGCCGCATGTTGGACACCCCTCTTAAATCCAATTGCATTTTTTGTAACTCTTCTTTATGTTTTATTTTTTAAAATACTTTTTGGAGCACTGGGAGATTTTCTAATTAAAACTTTTTTTATATAATAAGGATATCTGTAACATTTTGATGTGTAGAAGGAAATAATGATATCTCTTTAAATATCACTTGGGGCTGAGGCAGAATTTTGAGATCAAACCAGGGAAAAACACTGACACGCTTATAAACAACTGAAATTAAGCTAGCATTAGCTAAGTCATTATACCAAGCCATTAAGAATGATAAAGGAAAGTAGAGTGGTAAGGGTCACCTGCATCATACAGCCTGAAGATCCTTGTTACAGCTGATCTTGAACATAGCCAGAACCCGAGTTCTGATCTGTTTGGTTTTGGCACCATAGACGATGGGATTGATCACAGGAGGCAGAAGTAGATAGATATCACCCATGAGAACATGCACAATGGGAGGAAGGCTGTTTCCAAAACGGTGCACCACTGAGAGGCCAATGAGAGGCACATAGAAGGCCAATACCACAGTGATGTGTGACACACAATTTCCAAAGGCCTTGGCCCGCTCTGACTTGGAGGGCAGTTGTAGAACTGTTCGTATAATCAGAAAATAAGACAAAATGATGAACAGGACATCCACGCCCATTATCAGCAGAATGGCAGTAAGACCATAGACCACGTTGGGCAACTTGTCTGTGTTGGCCAACTTCATCACATCCTGGTGTAGACAATAGGAATGTGAGAGCACATTGGAGTGGCAAAAGGCCAGCCGCTTGATGAGCAGAGGCAGTGGGATAAAGAAGAGAGATCCACGGACCACAGCCACCACACCAATCTGGGCTGTTACTGTATTGTTGAGCACTGCAGCATGGCGCAAGGGATGGCAGATGGCTATATAACGGTCAAAGGCCATGGCCAGCAGGATGGTGGACTCAATGGCTGAGAGAGCATGAATAAAGAACATCTGGGCAATGCAGGCATCAAAGGTAATCTCCTGGGAATCAAACCAGAAGAGGGCAAGGATCTTGGGCATGGTAGATGTGGACAAGGCCAGGTCAATGGCTGCCAGCATGCAGAGAAAGAGGTACATGGGAGCGTGCAGGCTGCGCTCCATCCTTACGATAAAGACCACGATGCAGTTTCCAAATACTGCCACAGCATACATTGAAAGCAGGGGGAAGCCCATCCAGAAGTGGGCTCCTTCTAGTCCTGGGATACCAATAAGCACAAAGGTGGCATGTGTGAAGTTGCAGGAACTCATAGTTGGCACAGAGAAGTGGGCACTGGAGATTGTCTGGTCACACTGGCAGCCTGGTAGGACATGGAGCACAATCAGAGAGGCCAGCCCTGGAGACCTGGGGACTGAATGCACTTCAGCTCTCCTTCCTTTATTCTATCCTCCTTTTTCCAAGCCCTTTAGGCTCTCGCATAATCTATGAAGCTGTCTTCCAAAGGGAAAAGTGACAGCTCACATTCATTTACTGATTACTATTCTCAAGGTCCATTTACATATTTAAAAGGGAACCTGGGAAGAACAATTCTTATCCCAAAATGTATCCTGCTCAAGTTCTCTCAGACACCTTCTTCTGGTCCATACCTTCATTGCCTGGATACTGGGTGGTCCTTTACTCATATAGGTACTAGGAGATACCCTATTGGGAACCCCTTAGTGATAGGGCTGTGTCCTCTCCCTCCCTTCTCCCTCCCCTCCTTTCCCCTCCCCTCCCCTCTCCTCATCTCCTCCCCCTCCATCTTTTCTCTTCCTTTCCTTCAATTATTCATTCCATAAACATTGACTTATATGACCTACTGTGTATAAGGTTATTTGCTGGATGCTGCTGATACAGAAGTGAAAGACACCTTTTGCCCTTCAGATGCACTTTCTAGGGTGGAAGACAGACAAGTAACAAAATGATTAGATTTTTGGGATGTGTTAGCATAAGGTGTGCATTTGATGCATGGGTGGCGGGCGGGCACGGTCAGAGGAACCTTTCTAAAAAGGATGGTTTTTCTGTTCAGTCTTGAAACATAAATAGAACTCAAATGGAAAGACAAGGAAATAAAATTAAACCATTGAGGATAAGGAGGGTTTTTTCCCCTCAAATTTTTAAGATTCCAGGTTCCCAGTCTAAGGTCAGTGAGAGGGGGAAAGAAACACAACAATATTTTTCTTTAATTAAAAGGAAAAATACAAAGCAAAGAGGACCAAAAATCAATTTACTAAGGAAAAAAAGGAAACATCTGGGGTCACTGAATGAAAGGCAGTAGCTCTCTCCTATGACTTCCCTGAAGATAAAGGTGCTGGCAGGTCATGTGGCCTCCAGCAGATCCTAACTCTCTGGCATGGTCTCTGTGAAGGCTCTTCTCTGCGCCCCTGGCTCATGGGTTCCTACAAACCTGAGAGCTGCCTCCAAGGTCACTCTCATTAGTTCAAGGAGAACTGGGGCTGAATCTAGATACTCCTCGAACTTTCCCTTTCCTGGAACATTGGCCAACAAGTCATTCATATTAGGGCAGACGTTTGCTGTTTAGAAACCCGCTGCTGTTCTGCCCTGCCACCTCCCCAACCCTAAACACATGTGTTCTAACTTCATTAAATGTTTTTTCCCCTAGGGTCCCCAGTGCCCTGGTTTTTAGAGCTAATTTTCTCTAAGGAGCCAAGGGCTTGTCTTCAAGAAGATCCTCTGAATCTTGGGAATAAAGTCTGCAGGCATCTTCATCAGCGGTGTCCAGGTTAAGCTGTTTATCTCCCTAGGATTCTTCTTCTCTCCTAATCTGGGTCCTTACTGCAACTGGGAGATGCTCTTCTGTTTGGCCTTAGTGGAGAGTTTGGTAACCAGTGGTCTCAAAATAAATATGAACTAAATACAAGAACTAAAAGGTTTGACTTGGATTATCCTCATCTAGGAAGGATAAATCCAGGGTTTAAAGGTTGTAAAATCCATACTTCTGACCACTATTTGCTCTTCTCCATCCTCAGACCTTCTACAAAGACATAATAGCTACCCTCCTTGACAAATATGGATCCCAACTTTGGACCCCCATTACTGTCGGGGAATAGAAAGCCCTTTTCAGAAGCAGATAATTGCATCCTTCAGTGAGATAAAATGTAGCTTATATATTGTATCCACCTAACTATCTATGTATTTATCATAGGTAGCTGGGGGAAAGAGAGTCAGACATCCAAACAAATTAGGCCGAAAATTATGTGGTAATGCTAAGGTAGCTTCCCTGGAGGGAGGCCTCACTGGACCTCTGTGTCCAGAGAAATGGAGAAATGGGACTCGGGCAAAGAAAAGGGTAGGCATGGAAAGTAGCAAGGGGAGTACAGCAACATATCCCCCCTTTCTTGAGGCCTCCTGTCCATACTACTACATGCAGCACTCACAGATATAAGGGTCTTTGCTGGACACAGAGTCAGACACTATCCTGACCCCTCTCTCCACAGGGCACCTTTTATGCCCCGCTGGTAGCAGTCTAAGACTTTGGGCCATCATCTTGTTTCCCCAGTTACCTACTCCAGAAGACCTCGTGTCTCCCTCCCATGTTGCCTGGCCTTCCGCCTAAGGTGACCCTTGACTAGACGCAATTTCCGCTTCTTTTTGGGTCCACATGTGGCTGTTGTATTCATACTCACTTGCTTTACTGGATGGTCAGCTAATGCTCTGAGAAATCTCTTCCTGTCCCATGAAAGTGTAAGAGGCAACCAAGGACTTTCCCTGCTCTACCATGAGGTGGCTTGTGGGGTCTTCCAGATCCCTTAGGATGGCAGGATTTGGGCTGCCTAATCCCAGGAGAGGATGCAGTCCCTTGAAAATGGTGCAGTCCTGCTGAGAGGGAGCAGCTGGAGCTGGCTCCCCCCTTCTGACACAGGCTTATTTATATTGCTGCCCAGGAGGCCCATGGGAGCAGGCTGCAAGAGCATTAACTGAGGCTCCGGGGGCATGGCAGACAGGATACAGTATCTCCATGTTCTCTTATGTGTTATTCCTACAGGCTTCACACTGTTTCTGTCTCAGGGGGGAGGGGAAATCACAAAGGGCCCACTGCCTCTGCCATCACTCCCACACTTACAGATAGAGGGCTCTCAGCAATCTGTCTCCACTTTTGCAGGTAACTCAAACTCCCAGTCATCCACAGTCAGTGCTTTTCCTAGTTAGCCACGTGGCCAAACACAATAACCAAGGTGCGTTTATTAGTTTTATCCTAGGACTCTAGAAGTTCAAATCCTCTTGAAAAACCAACATGGGCACAAAAAATGTAGTCCCGTCATTCAAAGTAAGGGCGTGCACTTCTTCAGCTTTTCTTTTTCCATCTTTCCTTTCAGTGGTTGAAACAGACCTCGGTGTATGGGAGTCACTCTTTATCGTACCTGTGTTAAAGAGAAAGATTAGATGAGATAAAAGCTCTTCATGTTATGCCATGTAGTTAGTTAGTTAGTTAGTTAGTGGTAATATCAGTTGGAGAACTAGTTTTTCTGACTGTTTATTCATTAGCATCGAACATTTACTTATCAAGAGCTTTCAATGTATAAAGAAAAGTAGACAACTCCTCCCAGCCCCCCGAAAAAGCCCTCATCTTCATGGAGTGAACAGTCTAGTGACAGGGACAGACAATAAATGGAGTTAATATGAAAAAACAAATAGAGTGTTAAATAGCCTTAAGGATAAGAGATAAAGGGAAGGTAGAAACAGATAGTTATTAAGGGGGCAATTGAAATTTTAAGTGAAGTTGCCAGGGAAGGCCTTACATAAGGGAGACTTTTGAGCAGAAGACTGAAGGGAGTGAGAAATATATTTATGGAGATATTTGAGAAAGGCCATTTCAAGAAGATAGAGAAATTACAGATGAATTCCTGAGAAGGGAGTGTATCTAATAATTTAGATACAATAGATGAGGGAGGCCAGTGTACTTGAGTAGACAGACAAGGGGGATAATAGTAGGGAGATGAAATCACAGAGGTGATGGGGAGTTTAATCATATAGGCCCTTATTGGACTTATAGGACACTTAAGGGTTGTCACTTGGACTCTGAGTTCAAGTAGCTACAAGAGTGGTTATGCGTCTACTATTGCTCTGGTGTTTAGGAAAGTCTCCGTTTTATTGTGAGCTTGTCCACCTTAGTCAGAACGTGACCTCTGCTCTGCAAATCACCCATTTCTGAAGTGCCCAAATTAGCCACTCCCTAGAGATGTAAGTTTATAAGTTTCCAAAATTGTTAGGCCCTGGAGCTGTTCACATGTTAGTATGTGTGGGTGAGGTGGGAGAGAAACATCTGTAGAGGTAAAATGATCATTTTTAGGACTCTGAGTAACCCCATCCTTTTTGTTCCAGCCCACATCACTCTTCCCTCTCTCCATGCCCCATCATATGCTGCACGTTGAAACAACAACAACAACAACAACAAAACAACAAACAGGCACCCAGCATGTAATTCCACATCATCTGAACTTTTTCACTTATATCTAACAGTGAATAAAATATAGTTCCTGATCCTGAGAAGTGGGCACAGACTCTCTTGTGGGGAGATGGTTACAGTAGATTCTGAAAACGGATGTTGTGCATGAGAAAAAAAGCACAGGTGCTGTAGAAGCACCTGAGAAGGACACCACAGACTTGAGAAGTCAGGAGAAAGTCTCTGAAGAAAAGTCATTTCTAAGTCAGGAGAAGGGAGATAGTGAAGGTACTACAAGTGGAAGTAACAGCTTGTCAAAGCCTTGAAAGTGAGATAGAGCAAACAGGGTTATGGAAATGACCATTATCTGTTGTGCCTGGAGCACCACATGGAGGGAAAGTAATAAGGCTTGAGAGAGGAATAGAGTCAGATTATCAGAGGTTTTATTCTTTTTACTATGTGGTAAGCCCTGTTCTGATGTCTGGAAGACAGAATAAATAAAACAAAGGCCTTATATTCAATGATCTTACCTTGTAATGGGAAACAAGAAAAAGAAATAAACAGATATGTAATATATTGGGTTTCTAAGTAAATGACACAAATTATAATTCATTTGAAATCTATAGTCATTTTTCAGTTTCTGCTAGGGCAGAAAGTTGATGGGGGTTTGAGACATATTCTAGAATATACAAATAAAAGTGCTAGAAACTAAAAACAAGGTGGGCAGGGAAGAGAGTGAATGCAGACAAGAATTGAGGGGGAGATATGTAGTTATTTTTTATAATGTCAAGGACACTGTAATAAGATGATGCTTAACCAGAAACCTATATCAAGTGAGACAGTAAATCATGTGGGTACCTGGGGGAAAACGTTTCAGGTAGAGAGAACAGCAAGTGTGAA